CTTCCACTAGCGGAGTTTAAATGCCTGACTGGCCAAAACTGGGTACTTTGGCTACGACGACCTTACTCATGACTGGCACAAACTGGGCACTTCGGCACTTAAAGGTTAACTAGTGTGACGGACCAGAATGAATAAAGTAAAAAAGTTATGAAGCTCTTCATTATGCAATTTTCTCCAGTCTCCTATTATCTCTTTCCCTCTTAGGTCCAAATATTATACCCTGCACGTAACCACACTGTTCTCAAAAAACCTTAGCCTATGTTCTTCCCTTAATGTTAAAGACCAAGCTCCATACCCACACAAAACTACAAGTGAAATTACCATTTTGTATATTTCAATTTTTATGTTTCTTACAACAACTGAGAAGACAAAAAAGATTCCAAACTGCATGGAAGTAAGCATTCTCCAAATTTAATCTGCTCATTAATTCCCTCACAAATGAAATTTTAATATGTTACTGCTGTTCCCAAATATTTGAACTTTTCCACACTTTAAAAGGATCTGGCAGCTATCCTTCAGGCTTCCAGCTCCAGTGACTGAGGTTAGCTTTTTCTAACTAACCAAACACAATAAGTGCCTTCCATCTGTTCACCTGAAGATGGAAACAGATTCAGTTTCTGGGCTGCTGTGTTCTCTGCAGTACAAGCCGAAGGACCCAAAATCTCACTAATCCTAAGTGTTATACACCATTATCAGAATCTCTTACAACTGTCTACTGTAGCTATCTTCACATTACAATTTTGCCCTGCATTCTCGTGATGAGACATCAACACAAACTCAGTTTCTTATGAGTTTACTTCTAGACCAGCCCCCTTACTGGTGTCCATTAGACCTCCTACGTTTTTCTTTATGGTATAAATTATTATCAATACAGAACAGAAGCTGATGTGTTCCATTTAATTTCAATCCTCCCTATTTTCTTGATCTTCCTAATGGCACATTCTATGGCAAAGTTGAAAAGGACTGCCTTGTTTCAAACCATTCTGAATATGACAATTACCTGGCAATTGCACTGGGTCTAATAAGCAAAAGTATTGGTAAATTTTTAAACAAACTTGGTGAAGATCGCCTACACACATTCACTTCCGTCTTAAATGCAATTTGGTGAAGGTACTGTCATACTAGAAGAGCATACATATGCAGTCACCATATTACAGAATCCCCATATAATCTATGGAAACACCTGTACACTATGAAATTCAGTCAGCCATGATAAATATCACAGTGTAAGAGTAAAGTCACCACTTATACTGCTGGGTCTGACACGGATGATTCTATTTCATAAACCATAAAACACTATTCTTTGAAGGAAAAAAGAAAAAACGAGCTTTCGCTTCCTCAACAATGAAACCTTTTGAACTCTTCAAAATTTTGGACCTAATTATTTGCATTATAAAATAAATTATATTTGTGGCATATGCTGATGATCTATTTTCAAAGGGGCCATTTCCACATCGTAGGTTTGTTACCTGCATGGATATATGGAAAATAAAGGAAATGAATTTATGTTTTTGAAGTATCATTTGTATAACTTATATGTTTCAGATTTTTTAGAACTTAACAAAGCAAATATATACATTATGACTTTGCAATCAAAAAACAATTCTGAACCAGTATAGATTGCTGGAATGTTAAAGCTTTTCTTTGGTAACATTCAAAATCAACACAGCCCTAAAAGCAATTAATGCTGCAGAACTTACCCAAAATAAAGAGAAAGCCCTGAACAGTTTAAAGTTTAAAACAAAGTTTCAGCTGGGATTCTCAAGATAACTCTTAGTACCAATAACCCACTGAATACTGAGTTAAAAACACACAGTGCCAGTAAAATTTTGCTCAATAAGCAGTGAAATTTCCAAACTAAACTATGTACTACCCAAATGAAAACCATAACAATTCAACTGCACATATGCCAGAAACCAATGATTTCTGGTTAAATATGGTTTGCTACAGCTAAACCACATGCTGATTACCTTACTGAAGCGTTCTGTAGGGATGAGCTGCAAGATGATTGGTTCCATTGTCGTCACATTGCCAAAGCGTACCTCAGGAATGTACAGCGCACAAACCACATGAGCCCAGGCACTATTGTCAGTTTTTTTGAGTGCGCCATCCTTGCTGGGGCATAGCTCACATCGCTGTAGACATGGCAGTACAGCATACGAAATAGATAACAATCACAATTTCCACAAAAACTTGCACAGAAAACCTGCAATCTTGTACAGCCAACAAAATGTAAACACAACATGTGTGCAGATTTTTTAAATGTGTTTTGAGAAGTGGAATATTTTAAAACTCACCACTCTAGCTGCGCGTTCTTGACTCTCACATTTTCGACAAAACCATGGCCCTGTCGGTACTGTCACAATTCCGTAACACGCTGCAAAGAGAATGGCTACAAAAGTGACCTCTATATGGAGTTGATTACTTTTAAATCTGCAATGCAATCATAACCTCTTTCAGTTATTTTTATGACAGTCTTTAAATCCAAGCTAGGGAGGTCTAGGCCTATCTCTGAGTGGGTCTCAGTAAACAAAGAATCTATTTTGGGACACACTTACCCTGGTGTACAGCCACGGTGCATCCCTGACCATCACAATAAACAAGGGGGTTCTCAGCCCACCCTCGTTCATCCGAACATACACAGCACCCTCCTACCATCTCCTTCATAATGGGATAAAAATGCCTTCGATGAACTAGCGTCACTTTAGAAGTGGCTTGTTTTTCATGGTTATGCAGTTTCTCACGCCATGTTTCACAAATTAATAATCATCTTCCAATTTATGTACAGCGACTAACACAATTTCTTCGTTGATTTTACCAACAATTTTAAGGCTTATACATTCTTTTACACTTAATACATATCGATAAATACACCACTTCCTACACAATAAAACTGCGCATGCGTAATGGCGGGAGTACAGAGGTCCGCGCAAAAAACAGTCGAAAATCAAACGGGCAGCGTTCAGAAAAGTAATACTCCCTACACTAAAAGCTACAGTACCTCAAAATTCCAAAAGTTTCCAGGGAAAATGCAAATAAATAAAATTATTAAAATTAATCCATTTGTATAGTTTAACTGTGGTATAACAATAATTGTAATTAAAATCATATTTTACGATATCGTCGGTGTTTATGTTGATGATAAAGACTGGGGAAGAAGAAGACAATGGCAACGATAATAGTAATGTTGATAGCAATACTTCTCGAAAGTACATCATATACCGTAGAAAAACAAAGCACTTCAGAAAAAACATTTTGTGCATACCATGTTTAAGTTTTCACCCACTATTTTTCTGCACTTAACTGATTAACTAACGTCATGGAATCGACTCCTTGGGAAGCCAACAGTCCCTCAGCTTCACAAGAATTTCCCAACATTATGAAACCAGCAGGTTCGTTAACAGGAGTCCCTCATGGGTCTCTATGCTCAGCCAAATTAATTCAGTCCATATCCCAACCAAACAAACGTGAAAAATAATTCTTAGATCTCATGATGTTGAATTAGAATTTATTTGCATCACATAGATCCCTCCTAGATTTTGATCCATTGTTGAAATAAGCCAATATATAAATCTTTGGCATGTACTATAATGATGGTTGTATACATAATAATTGTATTATTAATGTTATATACCAGGAAAAGGGCGTCATATTTTAAGGCCAGTTGGTAAACTGTCATGGTAGATCTATTGGTTTGAAGGTATTGCTTCAATAAAATGACAATATCCAGCCACAGTCATAAATCTCCGTTTTACTCATTTGACATATTACCATATTGAGCAGCACATTTTGCAGATTTTAATTTCAGTCCAAGCCTTCTAACTTGGAAATATTTGCAAGTAAAAAATATAACATGCTGCTTCCTGTCATTCTTGTGAACATATAAAACTCAGACCACAATAGTAAAATTTTAGTTTTATTGCTGAAAGTTATTAATATCATGGTACCGAGATTTCAACTTTTGTGTAAATAACTGGAATTTGAAACACATTCTTTTCATTGCGTCAGAGTAAAACAAATTACATATGAAATACAGCATGAATAGTACCTAGAAATAATAGTAACAGTGTACACAACTTGACTACTGGGGAGGATACTTTGTAGCTGTAACATATGCTCTACAAAAATGTTTTTATTAAAGGCAGAGAGGCAGATGGGGCTAAGCAAATAGACAATAATGCAGTGTTGAAAAAGATGCCTAAAAATTTGTACTGAAGAGTGGGTTTCTTTGTTTCTTTGCCCATGTGGTTCAGTATTTTTAAGCAATGCAAAACGAGAGAAGAAACAAAATTTTGATACATAAATTTCACACCGAAAAAAAAAACACATTTTGAAGATAAAATTCTAATGAAAACCCAGAACTGAAGGACTTCATTGCTGCTGACACATGCCGGCAAGCATAAGGTGATGAAGCTATGGTTCGGTGTGGCCAACGGTGGACATGCATGTGGAATTTATAGCTGGCTGATCTAAGGATAGCCTGGATTCCCTCTAATTCATGATCACTCTCTGATGCATTTCACAATTGCAGTAACATTAATGAAAAAAAAAACTCCGTTGTTTTATTCCGCAAGCGAACTATACCGACCGAGCAACCGCCGCTTGTCAGCGAAGTTATTGCCAACTTTAGCGGATAGAGTGCGCGTGGTCAGTGCAACGGATCCTCATAGCCATTAATCTCGGTTTTCTAGACCGGAACATTAATGAAAACTGTGGAAAAAGTTACAACGCTCTTTTAAGCAATAAAAGGCATAGATTGTTTTCATTACACAAAATCGTGGATTACACATATTAATGCTGTAAACAGTAAAAATATTTTTATAGTTCAAAAAAGAATTATAATAATTATTATGAATGCAAATCCTAAAGCATCTTGTCGAGGATTTTTTAAACGTTTAAATATACTGCCTTTTTATTCCCAATATATATTCTCTTTATTGCTATTGGTAGTGAAAAATTTGCACCTATTTGTGATTAATACTGAAATGTATACTATAAATACACGACAGTGTTTCAACTTACACTTACCATCTGTAAAGCTGACCAAGTATAAAAAGGGTATGTATTATATGGGTATTGTAATATTTAATCAATTACCACAGAAGATAAGAAAATTATCAACTGATGTTAAGAAATTTAGATTAGTCACTAAAATTTCCTTTTAAGGGAATCTCTCTATTCAATAAATGAATACCTGGAATGGTCTATAAATCTATAGTTAAGGTTTATTCTGAATGAAATTCATATTGGTGTAATTGTGATAACATGTACTTATGGGCGTATTTTGTATCTGTACATCATTGTTGTGACTCGAAAATTGTTTATTTGTTGTATATATATATATATGTTGACAAAGTTGTGAGTTACAGCTGCTTTTATCATAACATTTTATCTCTTGGTTATATTTTACTTTTCATTTTATATCTTATTTTAGTATATATTTAAATGGACTGCTTCTATATCTGTGGTGACTGTCTTGTCTGTACGGATTGTTTGAGGTAATAATAAATCAAATCAAATTATAAAGAGCTCCTAAAGTAAAATTATAAAATAATTATGCCTATAAAAGCTGCATGCACATTTAGAGGATAACCTGTTTGCTCCTTGCATCTTTGTGGCAATTGCTTCAAATGAAGCCCAACAAATTTCTTATAATCGTACAGCAATAATCACATTGCTGCGATACGTAGATTGTAAACATTTAAATATTTACATGCTGGAAGAGAAACTGCTATATATTTGTTTTGTAGTTTGCAGGTTCGACATTCCCGCTATAAAATGGCGGCATCGCTACTTTCTAAGGTTAGGACCAAAGAGTAAAAGTTGAGAAGATACTACAATCGATCATCATTCTCCTTAGTTTACGGATCGGATGTCGCCTGCTGCGGAATTTGTCCACTTTTAGAAACACGGTGACCTTCAAGGATTGGATGTCGCTTGTTACGAAATTTCTCCACATTTAGAATCATGGTGACCTTGTGAAGGTTAAAAAATAGCCGACGTTAGGAGCAGTTAGGTGTGTGTACAGATAGTGATTAACATCTTCATTTTCACAACAGGTGGAAAAAGCAAGTGCACTAATAAACATGAGCCGAAAATTCTGGGTTGGTGGCAACTGGAAAATGAACGGAGACAAGAAGGGAATAGAAGAAATTGCAAATTTTCTAAAAGCCGGGCCTTTGGATCCTAATGTTGGTAAGGTCATGTCTTATTAACTTCGAAAATGTACTATTCCGTGAAGAAAATTTCAAAATAAAGTGTTTTATTTTTCACATACAGAGGTTGTGGTCGGCGTGCCGGCAATCTATTTAGAATACACAAAAAATCTGCTCCCACCAAACGTTGTAGTCGCTGCACAGAATTGCTACAAAGTTTCAAAAGGAGCATTTACTGGTATGTATTAATGTACTAGACTACTACTTCGTGTTATTGTAGGGTGAAACTGAATTGTGTGACAGGATAGGCAAGTTCTGAAGTTAGATTTAAGACATTGCTTCAAACTGTGTATGTTTGTTAGTAGCTGGTCTGCAGAATCCCCCTGCCAAGTAAAACAGAAACTTATAAACATTTCCAGTATAACCAAGGTAATTAGACAACAGGACCTCTACTATTGTAGGTTGCACCTAATCTTAATGATAATCAAATTGCTGTCAATATTTTCAGTAGTTCAGATAGTTACAGTTATTAGTGAATAATGGTAAAAGGTAAAAAGGTAAAGTTGTCCTTGTCCTTAACTTATTAAGCACTACACCATGAAGGCATATGGGGAAGTGGATGTATAGGTCCACATTTTCTTGACCTCGGCACTAGCTGGAGGTGAGTGGTCAGCTTTACGTCCTGGCCGCTTTAGACTTGGGGAAAGAGCCTCTGGTACCATTTTGGTAGGAGGTTGGGTGGACCCCAGAACCAGTCTGGGTGATGTGGAGAAGGGAAAATTCTTGACCCTACCAGGACTCAAACTCTGACCCTTCAGTCATCTGGCCTGTAGCCAGTCGCTATACTGACTACACTGTACCAGTTCCAGTTAGTGAATAATGAGTTGAAAATAATGTGAAAGGAAGTTGTAATGTTGATTCTTGTGACAGTCTTCCTGGCAGAATCTGTTCCCTTTGTTGCAACAGAATTAGTAATAGTAGAACTTGAAATTTTCATCTCTCTCTCTCTTGAATGAAGTTTATAAATGTACTATTGTTTTTCTGTTGCATCTATATGGTTTGACTCCATGTTTCTAGGAATGCATGCATGTTCACCCACCCAACATTGGTTAGTTACCAGAATTAGTAGTGTATACTTTTCATGTGAACGGAGTTCATGGAGGTAGGCCTAGGCCCACTGGGGCTGTAGTGCCAAGGAAAAAAGAAATACTTTTCATATTGGTCTCTGTTCAGGCAGATATGTTATATTATGTTTAAGGTACATAAAGCCAGTTAAAGATTGACTGTTCATTATCTGATATTCTTCACATCCCCAGATTTTAATCTTGGGTATAAGTGAAGAATTTCTTCACAGAGATCTGACTGGGAATTGAATTCAAAACCTTCAGAACTGGAGTTCTTTGTTGTACTCTTGAGACTACCTGGCTCCCTTTCATTTGAAATTGTGTGGATCAATTCTGATATAAGGGATATGCTGTTTCTTTTGTTTGCAGGTGAAATTAGCCCTGCCATGCTATCTGATATTGGTGTGAAATGGGTTATTTTGGGACATTCAGAAAGAAGGCATATTTTTGGTGAGACTGATGAAGTAAGTTCATATGTACATTTGTCACTGTCTTACTCTGGCAGTAGAACCCTAAAGGTTCAACATTACCAATATAAAATTTTACAATTGAACATAATGCTCCACCTCCCTAATTACTACTTCCCTAATTCCAAAATTACATTAATTTCCTCTTTGATATTTCACATGGCCAGTTTCCAAGAGGCTACCATACCAAAATTATGCGTGCATTTCTTATTCCCTATCATCAACTTCACAGATTATGCTTTTCACTTTTCTGTCTCCAGAATGTAATTATCCATCCTTTTCTTGCTTGTAACTCTGGAGCTGCATGCTACCTCTAATGTCCATGAACAGTGTATGTTGGCAGTCTGGTGGTGAAGTTGCCACCAGGCTTACATGCAGCTTTCCTCCTATAATTCACTCACAGGGAGGGTGCCCCCAGACCCCCTGGAAAATTGCCTTCCTATATTCAGTATTTTCAGACAGCTACATGTATGATGGTATGTAATGGCATATAAAAATAATAATAATTATATTTGTGCTTCAATGAAGAGTTCAGCTCATTTTTTTTCATCGCCACATGTAAGCTCATTGGTTGATATTTAAAAATATCCGTTTTCTTGATTGCTGTGCCACCAGTTGATCGCAGAGAAGGTGGCCCATGCACAGGAGTCTCGTTTAAATGTAGTTGCTTGCATTGGAGAGAAGCTTGAGGAGCGTGAGGGAGGAGAGACGGAAGAGGTGGTGTTTAGTCAAATCAAGGGAATTGCAGAGGTGGTCGTTGACTGGACCAGAATTGTCATCGCATATGAACCAGTGTGGGCTATTGGTACAGGACAAACTGCCACTCCACAGCAAGTAAGTTAGGTGTTTGTAATATGTAGGATAGAGATTTATGAACATGTTATCCATTAAGGTGTTTTATAAATACATGTTTATGGTTTTAATAATTTAATTTTATTTTATTTTTAGAAGTGTAACCTTCCTGTTTGGTATGAAACAGAAAAAGGCCCAGGAAAACGTTTTACATTCACGATTTGGTGGTATTATTTTAGTGCATTTTGTGTACGAGTTTGACTATACCCTGAAATTACACTAGACATTGCAGTAAGATTAGGTACAGAACAGTTGAAAAGAATATTCATTTTTGGATACTGTGGGATTGAAAAACGTAACAATTGTAAAATTCAAAACAGAATGAGTAAGAGAATTTAGTTAGTAGCCTAATGTGCAATAAACATATACTACAGACATATCAATCTTCAGAGTTTACTTTATACCTTCACTAACATACACAAATAAAATATGGATCATCACAAAGGGAACAAAGAATAAAATAAGCTACTGAGTGAAATATTTAGAAGTATGATAGTGAAGTAGAATTAAAATTAAGAATTACATACAAGTGATAGAAATGCCAGAAAGTTATGGGATTCCTAGCAGAGCATTTACTACTGGGAGAACAGATATCAGGTGGGTCATATGCAGATAGAATATGCTGAGCTAGGAAGAGACTGGTTTAGGTTTTGAATTTAGAAATGTGGGAGGACAGACCCATCTAATACTTCTGTTCACCTGTCAGTCCATGCAGAATGGACACATTTGTTATATGATGAAGAAAAAGCCCTTGTTTGTACTCAGTGAAATACACTAGTAATTTTCATGCAACATATTTTTAGTCATATGGCTGTTTTATGATGTTATGTTTTTAAACTTCAGAGTTCACATTGGTGCAATCTCCAGGTTGAGGCATTAGAAAGACATAGCAGTATGAAGTTTTGTCTCTTTTTACAGTGTAAAACGTTCATATTTCCCCATGTGCTGATACTATAGGGGTGTATAATTTTGTGGTTATGTTATGCCCCATTTTACAGCTCAGTTTGTCTTCCTGTCTTTAACAGGCCATGTCACTATGAATCAGTTATATTTTGTACTTCCAGTTTAGCGACAGGCCTCTTTACAGCCCACTCTCGGTTTGATCAAGAATGTACTGTTTAATATATAAAGTTTGACAGGCTACTTTACACCCTATTGTAGGTGTGAACAGCCTTAGATGCTTTTGCTTCTAAGTACCCAAACAAGTGTTGATATGATGAAAGAAGAAAGTAATATATAGTAGTTTTACTATGGAAGACATGCTGGCAAATGTAGAAATATCACAGAGAAATAATGTTGCAATATCTCAGGTGTTTCTTTAAAAGAGTTCTTTGTTTTGAAGATAGTTATTAGGTAGAGGTTTTATAATATTGATTTTCTTTCATTTCAGGCACAAGAGGTTCATGGGATACTGAGAGACTGGCTCAGAAAGCATGTGTCGGATAAAGTCGCCAATGATATTCGTATTGTGTACGGGGGTTCTGTAACAGGGGCCAACTGTGTAGAGCTGTCCAAGGAACCTGATATTGATGGATTTCTTGTTGGAGGTGCTTCACTGAAGCCAGAATTTGTTCAGATAATCAATGCAAAGCAATAACTCCATAAATAGTGATGACCATACCTCAGAAATGTAGCATACTCATCAGTTTATGAACAGGAGTCAAGATGCATGGCTTGAAATATACACTTTCACTGTTGTGTGCGCAGAAAATGTTGTATAGATCCAACACAATTGCAGAGTTGTACAGCTAATAAGAGTATGTCAGTTTTAAGTAATAGTTCTTTCAGAAGACAATACATACTAATATTATGTATACTCAAAGTTTGACAGTGTAAGGTTTGACACTAATTTCTCTGAGACATGCTACTGAATTAACCTTTTGCTTCTTAAAAATGTGGTAGCAGAAGTACAGCTAAGTAAAAGTATGTCAGTTTGAAGTTATAGATCTTTCAGACGACAGTACATACTAATAATATGTATACTCAAAGTTTGACACTAATTTCTCTGAGACATGCTGCTGAATTAACCGTTTGCCTCTTAAAAATGTGGTAGCAGAAGTACAGCTAAGTAAAAGTATGTCAGTTTGAAGTTATAGTTCTTTCAGACGACAGTACATACTAATATTATATATACTCAAAGTTTGACACTAATTTTTCTGAGACATGCTGCTGAATTAATCTTTTGCCTTTTAAAAATGTGGTAGCAGAAGTTATTTTAGAACCGTTGTGCATAGGACTGTAGGAATGAGGGCCATTGCCTTTTTGAGAAAATGGCAAGCAGTTTCACCTCTCCCTGGAAACTTTGTGGTTTATTGAGAATGGGTTTTCTTATTCTTTGAGCCTGTTGATAGTAATGGTATATATATATATAAATTGTCAGCTGTGCAGCAAGAGCTCTCCGTTTGAGTTCTTAACCTCAAATTTCGACAATCCCTACATTATATATGTAAGTTACAGAAATTTATATAAATGTGTACTTTTCTTCCAATAAAATGCCATTTTCAGGTTATTTTAATCCTACCTGTACCAACAGAGGCACTTAATTGGTAAGATATAAAGTAGGCATTTATATTTAAAATCATGTATATTCTTCAGAATTCCATTACTTTATTTCTATTAATCATTAATTGTCAATGCAGGTGTGTAACTGTAGGAAGAAAATGCACTGCCATATTGAGTATTCTGTATGTAGAAATTGGCTGCTCTTAGAATGTTGTGTATTTTGTATGGGGTGTGTCCAAAGACTTAAATGGAAACTCGTATAATAAAATTTTTGGAGACATTCAAACTTTCATGTGTACCATGTGTAAACTTAAAATACTCCCAATATAATCCTTGCTTTTTTGTGTAATAAAATATGGAAAACATCTGATCCTGGAATCAGATACATAGTGGCGATATTCTTTATGTAGTTGATGGTACTACTTCCAGTCAAGTGTGAGGTCTGTAATTGAAGTCTTAATTTCAAAGCCTAGAATATTCAGATTATGTAAAGTATCTTCAGGTGTATCCTCCTAACCTGCTCTCCAAATCCTAAATTCCTCTTCAGCTGTCTTTGGCCATTCCTACTATCAAACATATTGTGTATACAAACAAATGGTGCTATATATATGCTTTAGATATCTGTGGGAATATGAAAGCTGTGTCATTGGTCCATATCTTATCAGCATGCCATCTTTCAGCTCTTCGGAGTCCGTTAAGATGCACTGCATTGTCATATTCCCTGTTTTAAGTGGTGGCAGTCACATACAGTCTCCAAATTCCAGTTATAATTTATGTTGTTCAGTTGACTACATTAATTAAAACTGAAATAATAACTTGCAGAGATTATACTTCCAGTCTACCATGACATATCAACGTTTCAGAGTACTGCATATTTGCAAAGTTGAGTGCCACTGTACAGGGGTTTCTCTTCATGATCTGCATTCTGCATGAAGGGAAGAGAATGCACAAAAGACTCAGGTGCAGATGGATAACATAAATACATAATGAATCTTAAGTAAGGTTGGAGGGGTGTAGACTGGATTTATCTCGAGTGTGGCCCACTGGGAACCTTCAGGGTCCATAAAAAGGACGGCTAGCTTCTCAAGGGGACATCTCCCTCGAGCTAAGTCTTGCATACTGCCATTGACAACAGTAGTACAGGAGATGTTCTTCACATATGACATCATGCACTTATGGCCACAATTCAAGTTACTGTAATACAAGAATGGAAAGTGGGAACTTCAATAATATAAACAATGCCATCTTCTGGGATGTGGCGCCATGTAGATCTCGTGTGAACAGACATTTCAGAGGAAAGTATCACCTCCACAAGTGAGGAACCAGCATGAGCAAGTGGCTGCAGGTTCCTCGCTTGTGAATTTTTCTACTGATGACTGAGGTGATGTGTTCCTCTGAAACGTCAGTTCACACAAGATCTACACAGTGCCACATCGTAGAAGACGGCATTCTTCACAGTCATCGCCGTGAAAATCTCAAATATTCAATAAAACAGTGCACAAAATTGCAGAGAAAAGTGCCCCATACCAAAATTGTTAAAAAAAAAGTCCAATGGTTGAAGCGCTCACACTGTCACACGAAGATATCACCTCAACATACATTCTTTTTTACTTTGTAAAGAATGTCTAAAATTCAGAGGGGATGACTTGTAGCTTAATATAAACACTAAAGCAAGGTGGGAGCCCGGTAAGATTATATATCACATTCACAAAGGTTTGGGGCAGTGAAGCATAGAAGACTGGAGAGGCTGGATGGTCTCAGAGTCAACCTGGATGCTGTGCAGAAGAGAAAAATCTCTTGCTTCTACCTGGTATCTAGCCTTGATACCTTGCTTGGTTAGACATTTATGAATTTAATTACATTACCAGCCTTCACCTCTTTTTTAACATCAGTGAAGGGTACACGTGGAAAAAAAACAGTAACAGCATCATCAAGAGAAACTTTATTGAATCTTGTACTTTTATCACTTTAATGGTACACTTATTTTATGGCTCCTGTTTATTGCCTTCACCTTGCAAGCACCATCTACTTCAGCTTGATGCTCTTCACAACGCCAATTTTTATTCCTGAGATCTCTCCTCCATATTTTTCAATTTCTTTTCTAGGCTCTCGCACCTGCATAAGAAAAATCAACTCTTTTAAGGAATGCTAATGTACATATATGGAGAAAGAGTACAGCACAACCCTTGAAAGCTTTCTTTGAAAAACAACTAGGAAGGAGGCCACAGTTTGAACTTAAATGTTACACAGATTTTATCACTGTCACAAAAATCATCTTACCTGTCCTTTTCTGCGTATTTTGGCTTTACGGAACTTACTGCGATGCTTTACACGTGGGTTCCGTTGCTCTTTCTTACGGTGTGGAGTTAGACCCTTGTTCTTGGCAATCTGGTATGTGATTCCTCGCTTCTCTTCCTCCTTTGTTTCTGCCTCTTTGTCTTCTTCAGGTTCACTCTTACCTATTACAGGACAAATGTTAAGAGATACCAGACCCCTGTTAAAGAGTAAAGTTTGTGATATTGCTGCATAGCCAGATGAGAAGACAGTCAATATAAGAGAATATAAAAGGCATATCACCTCTTAAGGTTGTGGATTTCTGGGTTGTAACAGTGTGTAATCACAAGATCACATGGTGTCTTAGCCCAGGAGACCATAATTTGAACAATCACCACTATAAAAACTTTGAAAGCTTACAATGGTTCACTTGTGCTCACTGTTTTGCTAGCTGTAGCTACTGATTACATTTTCAAGGTAAATTCTGACGGGAAGAAGAGAACTGAAAGGATGAAATAATAGGATGCCGGAGGAAAATGTCACATACTGAAGAGCTTCATAACCTATACTCTTTACCAAGTATACTTTGAATGAGTAAGTGGAGGAGGATGAGACTTCTATGGAATGTAGCATGCATGGAAGAGAAGAGCATTGCATACAGAGTTTTGGTGGAAAAATCAGAAGGAAAGAAACCATTATGAAGACTTAAATATAAGTGAAAGGACTATTAAAATGGATCTTAGAGCAATAGGATGAGGTGGTATGCGACTTGATTTATCTGCCTCAGGACAGGGACCAATGGCAGACTCTTGTGAACAAGGTAATTAACCTTTGGGTTCCATAAAATGTGGTGAAATTGTTGAATAGATGAACGATTGGCGGCTTCTCAAGGTCTCAGCCCCATGAAGTTAGTTAACATACTGAAAAACTGATTTTAATGATATTAATATGAAGTAACAGAAATGTAAGGAAATTATCCCACCCATGTTATTCCATATGTTAATGACATCTCTTAACAAACATGAATTATGAGGACATGAAAACTAGTCTCTTACGAACAAAACGTAAGGGTTGCAGGCTGAGCACAATCTGTCCATCAGGCCAATCAATCTACCGGTGGTGAAATAGTTAAGTTTGTAAAAAAGGCAAAAAGGTAAAGCTATCCATGTAACAGACCACAAAGGCCCACAGGGTTGTGAGACGTTGAGGCCCCCACATTTTCAGTAGACAGTGGGCTCACAGATGGCAGTACAGTTGTCAGCCTTACACACCAGCTGCCCTTTACCCCACAGGAAGATTCCTGGTACTCATTCCTGTTAGAGGCTGAGTTGACCTCAGGACCACAGTGCAGCTGGAAGGATTAGGTAAATTGAAAAAATCCACCTCATCAGGATTTAAACCTGTAACCTTCTGTCTTGTAGCATAATTTAATTTTGTAAAATGTTACAAATTCAGATTGCAACATATATGTACCCTTTCTCAATTTACAGAACTCACCATAGTTTCACAACTAGTATTAATCAGCTCGAAACTATTTTTAGGCAAACAATTTTAAAGCAATGTAAGTTTTGAGGTGTTCACGGCGATTACTATGAAGAAAGTCGTCTTCTGGGATCTGGCGCTGAAACAAAGAATACATGGCGCCAGCTCCCAGAAGATGACTTTCTTCAATTTTAAAGCAACATTACCAGAACTGTCCTTGCTCTTCAACCCAGCAATTCCACTATCAGGTGGGATACCCTCCTCTGCAATGGCAGCTGCTTCTCTGGCAGTACCCTTGGCTGATAGTTTCATCAAACTATCATTATTTTTGGCTTCTCCTTTCAAATTGGAGAGGAACTTCAACAGTTTCTTCTTAGGAGCTCTAAAACAAAACACAATAAAACCATTTATGGTTTCTTTGGGGAACAGTGGATTTGAACACTAAATTGAGGAAAATCTTGATCAAGTCAATCTAACACTTATGATCCCTGAAACTGAACATTAAATGACAGGAAATCTTAAACTACAGAATATAAGACTGTATGTATAAACTGAAATGGTCTGGACACTGATACTCACTGAAGATTTACTGACATTACATTACATGACAACTGACCTTCTAGTAGTACAACTTATAGGTGACATCACAAATATCAAAGCCTACCGATGGATTCATGCCAAACCAGTTTATTTCATATCTTCACTGAAAACTTCCTTCAAATCTATTTTAATATTATCCCACCTACATCTCTGACTTCAAGTGACTGCATTTCCAGAGGGTTTGCATGTTATCCTGATTTACTCACCTAAACTACATTACGTCCATGAACTAACAATCCTAATAACACACAAAGCATATATGTAAATTACATTTTTCATTATATAATTTTATCCATTGCAAATTTATCTCATTCCCACCTCTATTCAAATATGTGCCCTACCACTATATTTTCAAACCCTACCAACCTGTGCTATTTGCACACAGTGACATAATTTTTTAGAACACAAAAAGTAGGCAAACTACAAACTTTCATATTTGGTATGATGTGACAGTCTTCTCTTTAAAAAAAAGTGAAGCATGTTCCTATTTTTTATTCTAAACTCTGACATACTTTCAGGTGACATGTAAGCTGCCTGTGGTGCCTTACATCAGATTTTGATTTGGTGCTAATGTAGTATGAATGTATGAGGGGTAGGCCTTCTCGGCCCTTGCACCACGACCTACAGTGGTCTATTGTGCTTTGCTAATGTAGTAAGTTTGAGATAAGACAAAGATGCAAACCTGTGTTTTAACTTCTAAACATATGAAAGTAACAGACTCACTTTGTCCTTCCATCATGATTTGTCTCCTTACTGGTGACAGCTGTGGTCTCATTTCCATCATGTACCGCTGCCAAAATCGACTCTATCTGTGGACTCATTACCTCATCCACCGGTTTCAACTGTTTTAGCAGCTCTTGATACTGATACAGCCTATGCACTACCGGATGAGACTGAACTGCTATTCGCTTAGTCTTCAGAAGCAGATAGAATGCTATGTTGATACAATAACTGTAAAATTTAATTGTGCTGAAATGCATGAGCAGCTTTAAACACATGAATTATCAAATTTTTTAACAAGTTAGCTAGCTTTTGTCAATAACAATATCATAATGATGTCATGACCTACTTCAGCACAAGGTGGTACTTTGTTCGAATAAAACTGTCAGCTTGTGATGCTGGTAACTTTCCATTTCTGATGAGGTTCAGGATGGGCTCAATCTTCAGCTGAAGCTCTGTCATATTTGCTGGGAACAATGAAAAGTACTCTGCAGTACACTACATTCAACACAGTGGTTCCTGACTGGCCATAAGCAATTATGTGATAACACTTTATTTACAAAAAAAAAAAAATCTTGATGGCCTGGTGTTACTGCCTATGGATCCATGTGTATTACATAATGCTCCACTTTGAAATTAATATATCATTCCTTTCTGTGACTTTTCACTAATTCCGTGAATCACTGTTCTTTTGAGAAGCTAACATTCACTTGGCTAGTCAAGAATTTCCCCCCATATTTTATGCAATAAGAGGTTCATAATCGTTTTCATAATAACCTGATAATGGACCATACTGTAAAGCCAGATAAATCCTGTCCATATCCTCACACCTTGTTTTCTTAGGATCCACTTTAGTTTTACTTCCAGTGTACTCCCAGATCTTCCAAGGATTATCCCCCCCCCCAGATTTACAACTAAGACTATGTATGCTTTACTTTCTCCCTTGCAGTCTATATAATTCTTCTTGCTCTGATCATCCCAATAGCGGATGATACGAGGCGTATCCACAAAATAAGTTACATTAACAAATACTGCCACTGCAGCGCTGCCGTCACAATGGCGCGCATGTGTGCAGAATTTGTTGGTCCTTTAGGAAGGCACAGATGCTATTTGCAGACATTCAAACTGTGTTTCCGCACTATCTTGTCTGTTTACAATGTTCCAGAAAATTGAGAAGCCCACCGCATGTGAAATGCAGTCTGTAATCCATTTCTTGAATGCAAGAAACATGAAACCAGCTGATATTCGTCAAATTTGTGAGCTGTATGGAGAACATGAAATCCAAAATCTGTGTACTATATTGAGCTGAACATTTACTATATGTCCACTTTGTTCGGTATTCATAATAGCAAAAAACGTTTTATGCACATTTCTAGAACTTAATGTCACATAATACCTCTAAATTCTACTTTTTAGGATTTAGATGTAATAAAATAAAACAGACTTGGTTTCTGTTACACATTGAGAGTACATATTTCCATTAGTAAATAAAAGTAAGTAAAGGATGAAGTTCGAAGCCAAGTTAAAAGGCAAAGTGAAGTCTGAACTACTAGACTTACTCAAACACCAGGCCTACAAGAAAGCTGCACATTATTGAATTGTGATTTCCTACAGACAAACTTTACCTTTGAAGTCCTCTACTATGCCAAAGAATTCTGGAGACTCTTTCTCGAGAAGAGCCAATTTTTGCCTCTTGCTCAGTTTACTGAGGTCTGTCTTTATTACCTCTTCCTCCACTTCTTTTTCCTTCTGGAGGGGTACCTGAAAAGAAAGAGAAACATCCAACTATATTACCCCTTACAGTGATACCTGACAGGAAAGTAAGTGATCAACAAGATGAACACAATGGTCACAGCATAGTCCAGTCATATATTAATGAATGTCACCCAAAACAAAGGCTCATTAATGAAGAACATAAGATTAAATAAGCCATGGAAAGGATAGGATTGAAGGAAACAAAAGAACAGGTAAAAATGATGGTTAAGACATCATCATCATTGGTAAAACAGCCCTTTTCAAGCCATAGCCTTCCTTAGAAGAAGTATTTATGGTCTGTATCCTGTTGTGTATCATTATACAGTATTACTATATGACCATTAACAGAATAAATTCGTAATAAATAAACCAATATTACTGTATTAACATTTGTTTATTATGTACTACTCATTACTGAATTTTATTTCTATGCGGCTCCATATTAGTGATCATTAATAATATAAATGTACTTATAATTCCTGTGTTTCATTATATATACATATATATTTTTTTGTGCTATCTAATAGCAAGAAGATATGGAACCCCTATACAGGACATAATACAATACAGGTCCACGTATTTGTCCCCTGGTGACAGGGTGGCCCAGTTATATCCCTAGGCACTAGGATCCCTTTCCATGGTCTTTTAAAGATTCACTAGACTAAAACAGAGGTATTCTAACTGGCCTCCACACAGGATGGTCAAGACAATATGTCTCCTAAAATAAAAGGTAAGTATCCTATTAGAATGACTGCTGCTCATTAATACCTGTGCAAACATATCAAGCGAGAAGTCCCCTTCATCCAGCTGTTCTGCTAGTCTCTTCTGAATGGCTCTGGCTTCCTCCTCCTCACATTCTGCGGCCTCAACAGCTTTTTCATCAAAACCTGTAACAAACAGAATTGAATGCAGAATTTAAATAAATACAAAATAATCGTTATAATGCCACATTCAATTTTGGACAGCATCAGATTTTTAATGCCATATTCAATCATACTTTAAATACTCTGGATTTACTTTTGCCCTTGGGCACTGCAATGCTAATTCAATTCAATTCTTTATCATTAATGTGCCGAGTCAACAGCCGCATGGCCAATTACAGACACAGCAATAATAATAATAATAATAATAATAATAATAATTAGCAACATCAGCAATTTAACGCTCAATCTGATTTTATATCAGGATGTCTACAGCTAATCTTTTAAGAAACAGGATTAAACAATGTCTAGCCGATCTCAGTGGCTGCGTGGTCTAAGGCATGAACTGTCTTCACCTGCTCAAACACTGCGATCGTGGGTTCGAATCCCACTCATGTCATGGATGTCTGTGCGCTTTTGGTCTGTTTGTGTTGTCCTGTGTCCAGGTAGAGGCCTTGTGACGGGCTGATTCCCGTCCAAGTCCTACCAACTGTGTAAAAAGATCAAGAAACTGAAAAAGCAGCCAAGGTCCAACAAAAGGCTGTAGACAGACAGACAGACATAATAGATAGATTAAACAATGTCTTACCTCCATAGTCATGGTCTACATAATCTGTATTGTAAAAGTTTTTTCTCTTCTGTCCCCAAGCTCTGACATTTGGCAGGTTATTGCTGTTATCCTCCTGCCCCTCAATGTCACTGTCAGATATCTTCTCACCTTCTTCACTACTACTGTCATTAGAGGGAAGTCCATACACTTCCTCCTAGCAAAAGATCCAAAATCTTCTGTTGAATCCACAATGAACAGTTCTACTGTAGTTACAATTTAAGAGAAGACTGGATAATGCAGTAGTAAAATGATTGACTATAGTGTGAACAACCAGTTTGATTCCTAACATCAAAAAAGTTCTTTTTGGGATTCATCCACCCACCTAATTAATAGTTACCAGGGACTATTTCACCAGGTGACCTGTCACCACCATCTAATGCAAGCTTTGCCTGCACTTCCATTTTATGTCTTCAAGGTGTTATGCTTACGCACGGAAGTAATTCATGACAATCACAGTAAACAGGGAAATACAGTATAATGTCAGAAGTGACTTTTTCACATTCATATAATTAAACCAACAGGACAAACGTTTCTAACATATCATATCATACTACATTCCCAAGTTTTGTTAAGACATTTCAGAAAGGCAGAGTTCTATTTTTTGTGAATATAATTCCATGTAGGCCACTTAAAGTCTGTTGACCTTCATTTATTTATTTATTTATTTCGTCTCTACAGATCATTATTACATGATATAGGACTGTCAGTTACTGTACATTGGCTGATTACAATAAGAGAATAAAGTTACAATACTTAAAATTGTTTACAATCGATTACAGTAGATTACAATAGTTAAGATTTCATATATGAGTAGTGTGAGGTGGAATCCATATTAGGTCCCCTTGGCACGTCGGCTTCCATATGTCCTACTGTACCTGTACTGGTGATAATGCTTATGGAGAATTTGATGGAATGAGGATTGGCAGGGGAAACCGAAGTACTCAGGGAAAACCTGAACCAGCGCCACTTCGTCCATCACAAATCCCAGTTGACTAGACCGCAGCAGTGGGAAGCCAGCGACTAACCGCTTAAGCTATGGTGTGGCCTTGTAGTCAATGGACTACATGGAATTATATCCCAGAAGACAGACCTCTTTGTACCCACCACCCTGAGAACCTCAAATCCAATATTTCAGAATTGTGATTCAAAAGCGGTATCAATATAGGTCTCCCAATTTACACCAAATCATTAAATTGTTCATTACATCACAGGTTAGGTCACATATTGAATTCCAAATATGCTAAGCCTCGGTAACAAGATTTTAAATCGCGCACAGGCACAAGACCAAATGTGGTTATTATGGAAGCATGTCACTTTTAAAAAGAGTAAAAAACTTAAAACTAACCTCACTTTCTTCAATGTCTGAATTCCCATCTGTTCTCGTTTTCTCTAGCAATATTTTCTCTGTGTCTGAATATTCATCCCCAGAATCGGACAGCATGTAAGGGACATCACTTTCCTCATCAACTTTCGCCCTACAATATCAGCAACAACACACACACATATACATACATACTTACAAATTATGAAGTACGTACAATCTTACCAATAAACTGCTTGAATATTAACTTACCTCTTTCTTTTATTCATTATTTAAGTTTTCTTTTCCGAAATAAAGTGTCACTAAACATACGGCAGATACTGACAAATCACCATCTGAAACACTTTATACACCTACTTTATTACTACCTTGCCATGTGGACGATGTAGATGCGGACTAAATCACTACCAATCAGTACCATCAGCGCCCAATCAACGACGTCATCGATGATCACTGGATCACTGCCCGCACAACGTCGGCCGATGTCGTCGGTCGTCGGTGTTAACAGCGGTTAAGGGCGTTAACAGGAGCACCGCGGAACTCCACGTTATTGGCTCGCAAAATGGTCATGACTTTTTTGTGAAAAATAATTATAAATACAAAATACCATATTTTTTATTGTAGAAAAGAAATTATTAAATATACAAAAAAAGGCCTAGGCAGTGCCGATCTCTACCGATCATACCCGAACTAAATACAAATGACCGCCAGCGCTGAGAGCACAGTCGGTAAAAAGGTATGCTAAAATAGCATCTGTTTTTGTGTGGTCCTCCGCTACCCAACCGGGTTGGCGTTGAACATCAGAATAGCAATAAATAGTTTTGCAACCAGATCACTTATACTGCAGAGGTTCTTAGGCCACACCCCC